GGATTACGTCTCAATATAAAGAAAACAAAAATCCTCACAACTGGACCAATGAGCAGCATCACAATAAATGGAGAGAAGATTGAGGTTGTAAAAGAATTCAGATTGCTTGGTTCTACAATTGATGCCAATGGAAGCAGCAGTCAGGACATTAGACGACATGTAGCATTGGGAAAGTCAACCGCAAAGGAACTGTATCAAGTTCTGAGGAGCAAGGATGTCTCCTTGAGGACTAAGGTGCGCCTGACACAAGCCATGATATTTCCTATCACCTTGTATGAATGTAAGAGCTGGACAGTGAATAAGGAGGACCAAAGAAGAGTTGATGCTTTTGAGTTAATAGTGCTGGTAAAGAATGCTGAAGGTACCATGGACTGCTAAAAGAACTAACAGATCCTTGGACACGAGGATGGCCAGACTTCGTCTCACCTACTTTGGTCATTGTTGTCAGAGGGGACCATTCCCTCGAAAAGGATGTCATGCTTGGTAAGGTAGAGGGTCGACAAAGGAGGGGAAGGCCTTCAACGAGATGGATTGACACAGTGGGTGCAACAATGGGCTTAGGTATAGCAAGGATCATGGAGCTGGTGCAGGATCGGGTGGTGTTTCGTTCTGCTGTGCATGGGGTCGCTGAGTTGGAAACGGCTCAACAGCACCTAACAACCACCACCTAAGACATGCATAGTAAGTACGTGGCAGTTACTGTCATTGCCACCCAAAGAAGGCTTTTCACAGGCATTGGGTGTTTCTAAAATAGGAGGAAGTGTGTCAGGAAAGAATCCTGTTAATCCCTATCAACTTATAGATCCAGGTTTTCTCAACCTCACCCTGGTTCCATTTTGTACTAATTTCTTGTGAGAGGCTGTGCTATTCATTGTAGGATATTGAGCAGCATCCCTGCTAAAAGTCAGGAGCACCTCCTCCTACAGTTTTGATGTGGGGAAATCTCTAGATACTGCCCAGTATCCACTGTTGTTGTTATGTGCCGTTGAGTCGGACCCAACTCATAGCGACTCCTCCTTGGGTTTCCAAGGCAGTATCACTACGGAAGTAGATTGCTGCATCTTCCTTCTGAGGAGTGGCTGGTGAGTTTGAACCATCAGCCTTCTGGTTAGCAGTCAAGTGCCTTAGGCACTACGCTACCAGAGCTCCCCAGTATCCACTAGGTGTCAAAAATTGCTCCTAGTTAAGATCACCTGCACTGGACAGTTTCCCTTGACTGTGAAATATACTTAGTTTTGTAAGATACATAGGTCACTGGTTATTTTGTTGATTTCTTCTATAAATTGAGATTGTTTCCCATTAAGTCATAAACAAAGCAATAGTAGCACTTCACCTTCCTGTCATAACTTTTACTCCACTTTTCCTTTCTGCAGCAAATTGCAATAGCAAGAGAAGGGGACTTGCTGACAAAAGAGCGCCTCTGCTGTGGCTTGTCTATGTTTGAAGTCATCCTGACACGGGTTCGGACCTTTCTGGATGACCCCATCTGGCGTGGGCCTCTTCCTAGCAATGGAGTCATGCATGTAGATGAGTGTGTTGAGTTTCATAGGCTTTGGAGTGCCATGCAGTTTGTCTACTGCATTCCTGTGGGAACACATGAGTTTACGGTTGAGTAAGTATATGCTTAGTCTTACACTTTGGAGCAGGATAAAGTTCCAGTGGAGGCAGAGACACTGCTGGAGTTTGGAGGAGTTGCACAAGTACAGAAGACTGCATTCCTCTAGAAATGGATCAAAAACATACTAAGCTGGCCTGGCTTTTTTTTAATATCATTTAAGTAGGATTTCTTACTTGATGCCAAAGAGGTGACTCGGGGCCCGATTTTAGGGGTACTTTGAACCCATTGAAATTGTATGCATAGTAGAGGTATATTTTTATGGGGAGAAGTCATCCCTAGCTTCATGAAGTCATTCTTCATGGACAGACTAGGATTTGGAAAAGGTTAGGAAAGAGTATGTCAGAGGAACCCAAGAAAGGTGTTTAGCAGGAAGTGGAAAAATCACCTGTTGCTCAGCATTCTCTTTGTGACCCATGCCCAGCTCACTGTGGGTAATGATGCAGATGAATTGGTTAATGATATCTGGAGAAAGATTCATAAAAGACTTCATAATTTTTTTATTGATCTTCCATTTCTCTATTCTTGTTTTAGGCAGTGTTTTGGTGATGGGCTCCACTGGGCTGGCTGTATGATCATTGTACTTCTTGGACAACAGAGACGCTTTGCTGTACTGGATTTCTGCTACCATCTACTTAAAGTCCAGAAACATGATGGCAAAGATGAGATTATTAAAAACGTGGTAGGTGGAAGAAAACCTTGTGTGGAAGTTTCACAAAAGCATACTTTTTATTTATTAACAACTTTTATCCCAGGTAATAAAGTATTGCCAACTTAAGTGTTCTTTTCATTCCATAAATGAATCTAAACATAATTGGGAAGTAGATGTGCCTAGTGGTTGTAATACTTATTGTCCCATTTTTTTTTTTTTAAGGTACATGACCCTCTCACACTTCTAATCATCTTACTTTCCCTTCTGCCCTGTATCTCCTAAGATTAGTTTGGATCCACCTGCATAACCCACAATATGCTCATTATTTTAAGGTCCATAACCTTAATCAGGGAGCTCTGGTGCCATAGTGCGTAAGGCATTTGACTGCTAACCAGAAGGCTGGTGGTTCAAACCCACCAGCCACTCCTTGGAAGGAAGACTGGGCAATATACTTCCATAGTGATACTGTTTCCATGAGTCAGATCCGACTCGACAGCAGTGTTTTAGTTTTTTAACCTTAATCACATCTGATCTGTTTAGCTACATAAGGTGCCATATTCTCATATTCTAGGGATTAGGACATGGACATCGTTGGAGCCATTCTACCTCCTTCACTTGTCATATTTTCTGTTTCCTTGGCTCTCGGCTGAAATTAGCACTTTCTTCACATAGATCTCTCATTCACTCCAGCTGTGTCTAACCTATTGTAGTGTTACAAATTTCTACAATCTTGGATTACTTCTAAAAGTTTGATTTGGTTCTTCAGATCTGGATAGTGGTTGTGTGCTGTTGATCCTAAATCATAGCAATCCTATCTAGGACCACTCAATAGGATTTTCTAGGGTGAAATCTTCATGGGAGCAGATCACCAGGTCTTTTCTCCCATGGAGCCACTGGTGAATTCAAACCACCAACCTTTTTGTTAGTAATTAAGAGCTTAACCGTTGCACCACCAGAGCTCCTTTCAGGTCTGGGTAGTAATTTATAATTTTTCGTTCTTTGCTGAATTTTTTAAGTTTCTTTACACATTTTGTATTTTCAATACAATTCTAGTATCTAAAGGTGCAATGTGTAGAATCTGTTTACAGTGAACAGTTTGGCTTTTGGTCCTAGTTCCTGAGATTAACACCACACCTGAGGCTAGTGAGTGGGGACTCACTAGCTAATGAGGAACCTGGGGGCCTGATGCTACTTAACCCTTAGAAGGCATGACGTAATCTATCATGGCCACATGGTGAGGCCAACAGAGGCCTCTTAAGACAGAGCTTCTAGGGTGGGAGTGAACTCATGGATGAGTAATCATGTCCCCTGAGCAAATGAAAGCTCTGCAGGGAGACCTCACCCTGCACCTTGCCCTTTGTGTTTGTATCCTTTCTCTGCTAAAAATAGCCCTTTCTTTGCAGTTTGTAAGTTGTGTCAGTGAATCAAAACTAGCTAAGGAACAAATAAGGGCAGGCACCCACTGATGCAGCCTGGGCAAATAGGGATCAGGACTTTGAACTGGTTCATACTGATTTGACTTCCTGGTAAGAATTTTCATTTCCACCCCACATATATACTCAATCAGAATCTACACTGTATACTTAAGAACCACCTGGGGATCTTTTATATCTGGGATGGAAATAAATAACCAGAATGAACTGGTTTAAAGTCCTGGTGGAGATGAGAGAAGGGCTGCATAGAGTAGCTGTGGGGTAGACTGACCAGGGAAGGGAAACTGATTTTTTTATAGATATAATTGGTACGTAGACTGGGATTTATTATCCACACCCTTGACATCACAAATGGATGACATGAGTTTCCCTGGACTAGTATGGCACTGATTTGCAGAAGGCCTTGTTGGTGTTTTTATGTGTTATGTGAATTGAACCCGACTCATAAAGACCCCTCTTTGGGTTTCCAAGGCAGTATCACTACAGAAGTAGAACCTTCCTTCCGAGGAGTGGCTGGTGGGTTAGGGTTAGGCCTTAAGAGTATCTTATTCCTAATCTGAAATGTTAGATTTTTGTTTTTTATTTGTAAAGTCTTATTTGATTGAACTTGCTGTTTTCCTTCCAAGATTTACATTGGTTTCTGGTTACCTCCAGGGGTGTTAACAACCTGGGACCCTTTTAGCTTAATTAGCGGATTCTGGCTTCATGGGGTAGTCTCCAGGTGTAGTCCAGTTTGCTTACGGTCCCTGCTCAGTCTCCTCACCCCATTGCTGCTGTTAGTATCTACCCTAGAGGAAGCCCTGGCTTCTGCTTTACTTCCTGCATAGGCAGGCCCAGCAGTGTTTTGTTGTTGTTTTCTGTATGTTATTTATCCAGATCTATTATTGCAAGAGGTTCTGTCAAAGCATCCTTTCCATAAAAATTCCAAACTTGTAAGATTTGAATTATGTTAATGTCCAGTGACCTAATCTTCAATTTTGTATTCACAACTTTTCACATACCCACCAGATCCAACCTACTGTGACCACCAACCCTATTAGCAGAGTAGTTTCCAAGGCTATACATCTTTACAGAAACAGACTGTCACCTCTTTCTCCCATGGGGTACCTGGTGAGTTTGAACCACCACCCTTTCAGTTGGCAGCTGAGTGCTTAACCATTATGCCATGAGGGTTCTTTTAGTACACAGTAGATTATTAATATCTGTTAGTATCTTGAAACCTACAAATAAATGTTTATATTCAACAATGCACAAGTTTAAAATGAACACATTCTGATTGTAGCCTTTGAAGAAGATGGTGGAAAGAATTCGCAAGTTCCAGATTCTAAATGATGAAATTATCAGTATCTTGGACAAGTACCTCAAGTCAGGAGATGGGGAAAACACACCTGTGGAGCACGTGCGCTGCTTCCAGCCCCCCATCCACCAGTCTTTGGCCAGCAGCTGAGTGACACTCATGCCCCTTGTTTAAGGCTCCCAGTACCAACTGGATGTAATATAACAAGCATGTTTCTTTCCATGAACAATTCAGTGAGCTACTTAAGGACTGTTTTTCATATCTGCCTGTTAAAGGGGGTGCTTTTCCATCTAAAAGCTTAATTTCGTAAGATTGACTTATTTTTCTAGACTAAAATTGTCTGTGCTTTTAGTAATTAGTAAGTGAGAAAACTGGTTGCTGATTGTTGCCATTAGTGTTAAAAATTTTTTTCTATGGATTGTGCAAACAGCTATTGATATCAGAAAGTGCTGCTGAGTTCATTCAGTTACTTTAGGAAAGGATCAGTTAATGTTTAGAGAGACTTAAACTCTTAATATTTAAACAAGACACTTCCTACCATCTATCCTAACTGTAATAAAATCCTTAACTAGAATTAGAATTAAAATTAATGATTAATTATTTTGCTTTCATTTAGGGATTTTTCTGATGGCCTTTTATGAATAATCTTTTCTAAGTCCTGATTTTTCTGCTGCCCTAAGTCTAGTTGTAACAAAATATAATTTGTGAGGCATAATTTAAAGGTTATAAAAATAAAACCAATGAAACCTATTTGTTTGTTCATTTACTATAATCCCAGGCACCCTTGCCTGGGTGAGGTACTTTTCTCTACTAGAATTTACAGATTAGGCCTGGAGAGTCTTAGATGGGAGAAGATCATTACACCATCTGGAAACCTTCACCTGCACACACATTTTTATAACTTCACACTTAGGTTTCCTGGGGGATGAAATGAAAACCATGCCAATGAAAATTAAAAAGCTAAATTTAGACAACAGCTGTACTGGGTTTTCCTTAGTGTGAAACTGAGTTCAGCAGTGTGAGGAGACTGGCCGAAGATGGTGCATACAACAGGGACTGTACACGGTAGGCAGCCTTTTCTAACTGCCCCTGCTGTCCTTCCCAACTGTTGGGTGAAGAACTGTTCACGCAGCTGGAGTTTTGATGTTCTCTGCTCCTGAAAGCAATGTGGTCCATTTGAGTCATGTAACTAGGTAAGCATTGAGAAAGCCAAAGCCAGATTTTAAAATATTCAACACCAAGTGTCTAAAAATTCTAATTGAAAGATAAAAGCATGCCAGTATACTGTGAGTGTATAATAGAGATTAATACAAAACTCACTGCCATCGAGTCAATACCAACTCATAGTGATCCCCATTGGGTTTCCGAGGTGGTAAATCATACAGAAGTAGATTGCCCCATTATCATTCCCTGGGGCAGCTGGTGGGTTTGAATTGAACTGCCAACCTTCTGGTTAGTAGTCAAATGCCTTGGGCACTGTGGCTCCTCAGATTAATACGAAGCAGACACTGTTTTAGCTAAATTCATCTCATTCTTAATAGGGCAGACATTGTACATTATTTGGAGTATTATGACCTTCAGCAATCCTAAATTTTTTATACAGATGATGCTTTCCTATATAGTGTAGGAGTAACTTTCACATGCCTTTTGGAAATTTAACCCTAAAGTCCAGATGCATCATGCATGGTATAGAAAATGAAGTACGTGAATTATTCCGAGGTGCTGTGGTGGTACAGTGGTTAAAAAAATAAATATTCAGCTGCCAACCCAAAGGTGAGCAGTTTGAACCCACCACCTGCTCTTTGGGAGACAGATGAGGCAGTCTGCTTCTTCAAAGATTGACAGCTTTGGAAATCCTATGAGACAGTTCCACTCTGTCCTTTAGGGTCACTATGAGTCAGAACTGATTTGATGGCAGTATTTTTTTTTTTTTTAATATTAATCTCAAATTACACAAAGTACACTAGAACTGTTCTTTATAAAATGTTGCTTTTGATGATAATGGGAATGTATAACCTTGGATCCAGCATTCTGCTAGAGATGAAAACAAAAAAGCAACTGCCGTCAAGTCCAACCCTACGAACTATACTGCATAGGTTTTTCAAGGCTTTGACCTTTGATTTTCAGACCCTTCTATGGTGCTTCTGTGTGCATATGAACTGCAAACCTTTCAGTTAGTAGTCAAGGACTTTAACTGTTTTTGTTTGTTTGGGCCACACAGGGACTCCTGAGGTTGAGAGATGGTACTGGTGCTCACTCTATACTATACTGGAAGTATAGAATATGATTTTTAAAAACTAATGACAGTTGGATCATATTTTATAAGATTTAATTATAAGCCAAATAAAATGTAGTAAACACTTACATACAATTTCAAGTGCTACAGAATGTTTAAATAGTTAAGAATATTAGTATTAATTAACCTGTGCATTCATAATGGGGGTGATATCACTACCAAAGGAGTGAAAATAATTGGTTCTTTCTTACACTTAGGTATAAAGCACAGATACAGTGCATAAGCAGATATCCAGTATACTTGTAGTATTAAAATTACATGGAAGGAGGTAATTAGGGGGGAAAAAAATCCAAAAAGAATTACAGGGGACAACAGTAAATAAATTGAGAAAAACAGAAATTACTTCATGAAATGTACACTAAGTGACGACAGCTGCCCCTGGTAAAGTCAATGGCAAGATGTAAGGACGATGTCTGAGGCTGTACACGCCTGTCTAAGCCTCTACCACCTCTGTTCAATGAAGCTCTCAGAGCCTGAGCAAGGGCAAACTCCAAATGTTGGCCCACTGACAACTGTGAGGCCCTGGACAAGGAAAGAATGGTGCAGATTGAAGCCCATGTTCTGCCTACTACACAGGTAGACACTGTGCTCCCAATACATTTATTTTTTTTAAGGCCAATTAATGACTACAAGTTGAAAGGTTTCAAAGGTGGATTACACTTTTTTTTTTTTTTTTTTGGCATATGTATGAAGTTTTCCAGAAATACTTTTTTTTTAAAGACCGAAATATTATGGTACAAACTCTTATGCAAAATAAAAAGTACTTGGTACAAAGAAACCATATTTTCCAAACATTATGTCCCAAGCATTTAGACTTAGAAAATAACATTTTTTCAATTTATCTTTTTATTATAAATTAAATTTAAGGAATAATCCTAGTCTTCTGTCTTCAACTCCCAGGGTTGTTAAAAGGTGTAAATGACATATAAGTCATGAAAATATATGGAAAAGTGCAAGAGCTGATGTAAAATTATTAATCTTCCAGACATCTTAAGATTAAAGTAACTGAAAACTAAAATGGGCAGACTCCAAGAGCCCACCCCCAAAAAATGCAAGGTATAGCTAATTTAACAAAACTCATCTAAATCCAATAAATGTATAATGGAAATCTTACGTATGGTAATTAAGTCACAGCCTGAAAAGTATTTTCTGAGGTGATTTCCTAACCATTTTTTGTGGTCTAGAATGTTCCCTCATTTACTAATGTATGATTCCTTTAAACTAACAATTAAAAATTAAAATAATTCAAACAGGAGTCCCTTTTATAGGTAAGGTAAACCACAGAGTAATGTATTGTGATGATTTTGTTATTTTTTAAATCAAAAAAACCTATAATGGTTAGGACTTGACAGAGTGGAGCGACAAAGGTACACTTCAGACTTTATCACCAATGGAAAAATAAAACATTTTTATAGATGTAAAATTTTCATGAGTGCATTTTTTTGGTGAATGAATTAAACTTTAAAATGCTGCTACAATAATACAGTTGTTACCAGAAACAGAAACTAGCCATGTACTGAGGTCACTGTAGTAAGCTACGATCTTATAGACATAAGAAAATTTCTTGGTCCAAATCAGTGAAACCTTAAAAAAGATTGTCTTTAGAGAACATTATTTGAGGACAGTGCTTTTTTCAGACCAATTCTGATACTCAAATTTACTTTATAACAGAATTTAGGTTAACCCTTAAATTGTATCTTTCCTAAAAAGCTATCAGATTTCCATTTCTTCGGGAAGTATTTTCACCAGTGTGTTGTTCAGTTCCACAGGTTAAGGTTTCTTCATTATTAAGAATTTCATACATATTAGAAAGATTACCATTCACTGCTTTTTCGTCCTTCCGAAAAGACACTGGCAGACTTGCTAGACTAAAATTGACATCTTTAAAAGCATGCAACAAGAATATTCCCACAATGATTGTAAAGAAGCCACTCAAAGTACCAATAACGTCATCAGCAGGCATGTCTTGCCACTCCTTAAAGAGAATAGCTGAACATGTTAAAACTGATGTTGTAAAGAATACATAATATATTGGAGTCACAATTGAAGTGTTGAATATATCCAGGGCCCTATTTAAGTAATTAATCTGTGTGCTTACACAGACTATGAGGCTCAGCAACAGAATCCAGGCCAGGGGATGCCGCAGGACAGGCTTTCCCATAAACAGCTCTTTAATGGTAATGCCCAGGCCTTTCACACAGGAGACAGAAAATGCTCCGATTATAGAGCAGATTGTTAAGTACACAAGGATGTTCGTCTGTCCATGGCGAGGTCCCACCACAAAGATTAATATCAAGGACACAATGACCACAAGTGTTGCAAAGACCATAAAACCTGGAGAAGGAAAAGAAAAGTTGTATTTAATCAAAGGTTTTAAGTACTAAGAAAAACTGAAAGTCCAAAATAAGACAGAAACTCTGTATGAAGGAGAAAAGGTATAATCCTAAGATAAAAATCAGCTTTCCCTAGATCTCTGCCCTGGAAAGAAGCACACCCACAAACCAGAAGCATATAGATGCCTATCACAATCACAAATTGTGATACCACTAATATTTTTAAGTAGCACGTTATGCCTTATGATAATTACAAAAGAAAACTGTATTAGGCTAATATGCAATCTATGTTCTGGAGTATACTGGAGCTCACCACCTCCCAATCATTTCAATGGTTTAACTCCCAAGGCAAGGGGACATGTGCAATCATAACAGGGGCATGAACTTAAAAAAAAAAAAAAAAAATCCAAACTCACTGCTGTCAAGTCGGATCTGATTTACAGTGACCCCTCCTTGGATTTCCCAGGTAGTATCACTACGGAAGTAGATTGCCCAATCTTCCTTCCGAGGAGTGGCTGGTGGGTTTGAACCAATAGCCTTAAGTCAAATAAATGCCTTAGGTACTACACCACCAGAGCTCTGTTGTTGTTGTTGTTATTTGCCATCAACCAGAGCTCTAGGAGAGGATAATCCATATTTAACAATATATAGGTGCTTAATATAAAACTTAGGTGCTCTGGTAGCGTAGTGCCTAAAGGCACTTGACTGCTAACCAGAAGGCTGGCGGTTCAAGCCCACCAGCCACTCCTTGGAAGGAAGATGGGGCAATCTACTTCCATAGTGATGCTGCCTTGGAAACCCAAGGAGGGGTCGCTATAAGTTGGGCCCGACTCGATGGCATACAACAACAACAACAATATAAAACTTAGGAGCTCTGGTAGCTTAGTGCCTTAAGGCACTTGACTGCTAACCAGAAGGCTGACGGTTCAAACCCATCAGCCACTGCTCAGAAGGAAGGTTGGGCAATCTACTTCCATAGTGATGCAGCCTCGGAAACCCAAGGAGGGGTCGCTATGAGTCGGGTCCGACTCGATGGCACATAACAATATAAAACTTGTTGCCATTGAGTTGATTACAATTCATAAATATAGGAGTTTTAAGTTTGTCCTAAAAGTAGATTTTTAAAAAATAATTAAAAACAGCTGCTGAGATTACAGCAGCAAGGGTGGAGACAAGATGGCATCATGCTAATACACTGCCTAATCCCTCTAAAATAGAGACCCAAAAAAACTGAGTCAAACAGATAAAAATAATGATACTGGAACTCTGAGCATCAAATCAGAGGAAAAAGAATTAGACTGAGCAATGACTGGAAAAGGAGACGAGAGGGCAGCATCTAAGACTTGTCAAAGCGTGGCCATTTGGAGAGACAAAAGACATCATACATGGACAAGGAAGGCAAGAAGAAAAAATGTCATGGGATCCACACTGTGATAGACACACAGTGTGGACAGATCTGGAGGTGTATCTGCAGGATACACGCTGCATCTGGGACAGGAAAGTGCATGGAAACGGGCCAGATTTCTAATGGCACAGGCAACCGCAGAATGAAGAGGCAGCCACAGAAGGGGAATGAAATAACTCACCACTAGTGAACACTAGTCATTTCACCACGTGATAGGGAAGGCCTGTGGGGTAGCAGTTGGAGGGGCTAGGCTAGGGTCACCTCTCACTTGACTGAGTGTGGGCAGGAGCTGGATAATCAGCTATGTGTCCATGGACCCAAGATCCTTGTGCTGAGATCATGGTAGAGAGATCAGAACCAAGGGATTGGCATAAGACAGAGAAGCCTTCAGGGAGGAGGCTTGCTGGCAGAGTGGGGTGCCTCCCTGGGCACTGTTAGCAGCGCTGGAAGAGCTTTGTAATACTTCCTCAAGCAGGGCGGAGGCCAGGCCAAAATGCCAAAGGCAGGCCATGGCTGAGGGGAGGCTGTCCTGATCAAAGAATTATATCCTGAGTATCCCTGAACCTGAGTTATAACCTGCTGCTTTCCAAATGAACCCCATAATTGTAAGTATCATCTGTGAGTTCTGTGTGGCCACTACAACGAGTTATCAAACTAGCAGAGAAGTACAGAGTGCTGTGAGGGGGTGGATGGTGTTAGAAATGGTAAAAAGTCTGACTTCTGCCTCATAGCAACCAGTCTTGGGTGGTTGATATTCTGGATTCTGTTTCCCTCTCAAGAAGTTACAGGATGACGATGATGCCACCCTCATGCTTTTGTTGCAGCCACCCAGGGACTATTGTATAGCAGACCAAAAAAATTAGAATCCTACATCAGCAGTGATAGCTTCGAAAGCAACTAGATTCACAGCACAAAACCTTCATAAGCTTTCATAAACAGTGTCTTTGGAAGTGGAAGTGAAGGTGAGACTAAAAACAGGAGACCCTCGCTGAAAGTGCACGTAAAAGCAAGGGGCCCAGGTCCCTGCCCAGCCTAAATGTCTGGGAAGACAGCCCTACACTGGCAGGATCCATATTAAATGGAGTTGGTGTAAAGTACACCTTCATGATGCTAAGACTTTATTCCCCACTCAATTTCCAGAATGTTGTATCCAGGCAGAATATTTGAAGCTTCTCATCTTCAGATTAGACCAGCCCTATTTTGAAAGATAAAAAGGCAGCCAAGGATCATCAGGTGGTTGAGCAAAGAACATAGCTAGCAAGGAAGAGAGAAGCCAAAATAAACTGAAGAGAGCAACAGCTTTGTTCTTCTCTATGTAGGGAGAAGACATCATGAAGATAAATTATCTCCCCCAAAAGTAAGAAAATCTATCATTAATATTCTCAATTTCATGAAATGATGAAATACCAGACTAACCTTACACCCAAAACAACCATAAATGATGGATAAACTACAAAAACAGTAGAAAAAGCCCCCAAAAGAAAAAGCCTCACATTTCTGTGAGGACATCCAAGGGCAATCAAAGCAGCCAGAACTAAAGAGGATAAAACCTAGAGTAAAGGGAAGTCTCTGGTGGTGAGCCCAACAATGTTCTCTGCTTTCCCTCAGGGCAAGTTCCAGTTATAGAGCAGGAGCAAGGCAAGGCATAATGGCCAGCAGAAAATGGTGGCCTGGACTTGTGAAAATTTTAATGGATTGGGTGAAAAAATTAGAAATTAATGGGCCAAAATCCCAAAAAGGAAGGAATTGCAGGTAAGTGAGCCCAAAATTCAAGGTGCAATTTCCCTGAAGGTGTTTGTGGGCACATAAGTTGCACAAGGCAAGGTCAATGGAACCAAGGGAAAAGGGTGGTTAGGAGGCTAACAAGATGAACAGATTTCAGCTGTGGTGTGGTCATTAAAGGTTATGTGTTAACCTGGCTGGGCCTGGTTGAATGGCTGGGCAGATGGATGCAGTTATTCCCCATGATGAGATTGGCAATCAATTCCATGGTAGAATCTACTACTACAGCAGCTGAGTAGCTGCTGCTTTAGGGATGTGGTCTGCTTGAGTATCTAAGCAGCAGCTTTTGGGAAGGTCTCTAACTCTTGGCATGCTTGAATCCTGTCTGTAGCCTAGTCTTCATTCAGCAGCCTGCCATGCTCTGCCAATCTTGGGACTTTTGATGTACTTAAATCAATGGCCTGCTGTGGAGTTTGGTAATACTGGTACTGTGCCATTTTACTTGTTGACCTTGCGTTTTTTAGCCTCAGCAGCCAACAGCTGCCTGAGTGAAGATACCTCTAGCTCTAGTGGGCTGGGAGCAAGAAGCAGAGCTGAAACCCAGGTCGAGGAGGGGCTTTCACCCAGCCCCTAGAGCCTAGTACTTTGAACTTGGACTTCTAGCCTCCAAAACTGTAAGAGAATAAACTCCCATCTGTTAAAACCACCCATGTGTGGTATTTTCTGTTAGAGTGACATGAAGTAATCAAATGTGGTATTGAGAAAACAGATGTTGGAGTTTACAGTTAATTGAGGTAGAGGGGTCCAGGTAAACATCTCATGTTATTAGTAGACAGCCAAAAGGGCTATAATAAAGAATAAGGGAAACTGTAAAAAAGCCAGCTTGAACAAAGCTTGAAACTCACCTTTCACCTGGTTAAATGTGATTTCCTGTACTCTTATCTACCTGCCAGAAGAAATTAAAATCTCTTTGAAAGAAGAAAACATTACCTGGCACTTTATAACATATTATGTGCAGCATTCAATCAAACATGCCAAAAGAATAATGCCTATATTAATAAAAAAAAAGATCTGAAATTAACATCCTACCTTGACAACTCCAAGAACTAGTAAGAGAAGAGCAAACTAAGCCTAAACCTACCAGGAAAAAAGGAAGTAATAAAAGATTACAGAAAAAATAAAATAGAAAACAAACAATAGAGAATCAATAAAACCAGAAATCAGTTCTTTGGAAAGATCATTAAATCTGAGAAACCTACAGCTATACTGATAAAGATGCAAATAACCAAAATTTCAAAATAAGATGGGACCAGACAGAAATAAACAGAATCATGACAGAAATTATGAAAAATATATTAAAAAAACTAGATAACCTAGAAGAAATGAACAAATATTTTCACACACAACCTACCCAAACTGACTTAAGAGGAAAAAAAAGTCTCAAAAGACTGAGAATAAGTGAAAAGACTGAATCAGTGATCAAAAAATCTCCCAACAAAAAAGAAGTCCACATCAGATAGTTCCAATGGGAATTCTACCCAACATTTAGAGAAGAACTGACATCAATACTATTTAAACTCTGTCAAAAAACAGAGAAGTATTACCTAATTCATTCTATGAAGTAAACATAACCCCGATAGCAAAACCAGACAAAGATACAAGGAAACAGAACTATAAGCCAGTATCTCTTAGGAATATAGATGTAAAAATCCTGAACATTAGCAAACTAAATCCAACAGCATATTAAAAGTCATTCAACATGACCAAGTGGGAGTTAGTGCAGGAAGGCAAGGATGGTTCAACATTATAGAATCAATCAACATAATACACCACATCAGCAGAATGAAGAGAAAGAATCACATAATCATCTCTCT